GGGGGGAATTTAGAGCATGACGGTGCTGGTAATTATTGGATTTCTATAAATAGCATGGCTGGTTTTAATTGACGAGGACAAAGAGTCGGCCATATGCATTTGTTATAGTCGGTCTGCTAACTAATCCTATAAATTCTGCGAACAATCCTATAATGATTAGCTAACTGTCCTTGTAATTTCCCTAACCACTTTTATTCTTGTCCCCGGTCAGCCTAACTGCCTGCCAAGTTAACCATTTCTGGGAAGGAAATCCCAAGTCCCCCCCCCCCCGAAAAAAAAAGAAAACCTGAAAGGGGATTAGATAGAAATTGAAACATGTAAATGTGTGCAATATCACTGAATGCCGAGTCTTTTACACGGGGCAGAGAAGAGATGTCACCTGGTGTTATGCCAACTACCTGACCTCATGCTGATAACACACCCCGACTCCTGAGTGTTCATAACACAGTCCTGTAACCTGAAGCAGATTTAAACCTGATCACTATATACCAAGCTTTAACATGGTAATGACATTTCAAAAGTGTTTTTTGATCTTTTTAAATTTGTAGTTTTCATTAAAATGATTAATCTGCTATGAAGTTTCATGGTCAGGCTCATCCTGTTATGGGGTCTCCCAGCTGTTTTCCTGCATTGTCACCCTGTCACTCGTTCCCCTGCTGGTGACTATAAGCAGCTCTGATGACACTTGCTCACACATGGTCCTTCCTACCTTCCCTTTTCCCCAATTTCTCAAACTCTTTCTTTCTGTCTCTTTCTCCCCATTTCAATAGCTGTCTCTCTATCACCCCATCCCTCTCTTTCCTCCCCTCTTTACCCCTATTTCTCCCCCCCTCCACCTTTCTCTCTTTCTACCCATTCCCCCCATCTCTCTCCCTCTCTGCCGTCTTTCTCTATCTCTCAAAATCTCTCTTTTCTCATTCCCCCCTCCCCCATTTCTCCTAATTTCTCTCTCTTGCCCCATTGTTCTCTCTTTCTCATCATCTCCAACTCTCTCTTTTTTCATCTCTCTCTCTCTTTCCTCCCCCATTTATCTCTCTTTCCCCATTTCTCTCTTTCTCTCTCTACCCTCTCCCCCATTCCTCTCCCTTTTCACCCCCCCCCCCCCCTCCCCCCCCCCCCTTTCCCCCCCCCCCCCCTCCCATCTATCTATCCATCTCCCTCTTTCTGCTTCCCCTCTCCATTTCTCTCTGTTTTCCTCCATCTCTCCAACTCTCTCTTTTTCTATTTCTCTCTCTCCCTCTTGCCCCATCTCTCTCTCTCTCTCTCTCTCTCTCTCTCTCTCTTTCTTTCTTTCTCACACCTTCCTATCTATCTCTCTTCATCTCTCCCCATTTCGGTTTCCCGGTCTTCCATCTCTCTCCCTCTCTCTGGGTGAATTGGGTGTAGTTTGGGATCACCTGGTCTGCTTCTTTGCAGGCTCAGGAACCGGTGTCCTCGGTATAACGGGTTGCTGGCAGTCAATGATCAGGTGTAATGCTTTAACCCCTGAATGAAAAACACAATTCATGAACAGGTATGCTGTGCAGATCTTGAGGCTTCGTTTTCAGTTTTGACCGGCACACACACACACACACAGAATATCTCGCTCAACATCTGTACCGCTGGGCCACTTGGGATCTTATAGCAGAAAGCAAACCGTGACTCTTTATTGTCCATCTATCTATTTTAATAAAGCAGCAGACATATTGCCTCATCAGCCTTTTTGTGGAAGGAGGGGGTGGGAGGTCACACCTGCATAGCGCCAAACACATTACAAGCAGCGCCGGGCGCTCGGTCAGGAATAAAGACAGATGAATTGTGTCAGTTTTAATATTCACAGTCCCCACCTCACATTCCTCATGAGCCGCAGGAACAATGTACTACAGGAAACAGTGTGACATCCTGAGGACTTTAGTGCTCACGTGATCTTCCTGCTGCGCAGCTGACAGCAAGGCGAAGACAATGGGGGACATTTATACGACTCACGCAGCCTGAAAACCCGGCCGGTCCCGAGTTTCTCACAATTTTTGCAAAATAGTACAAATTACACAACTGTACATTGTGGGGGGGAAAATACCCCTAGGGCAAAAATAATATACAAAGCTCAAACAATGCCTTATGCCACAAATTGCCTGTATGTCACTTAAAGTGTATGTCCACCCAAAGTTTTTATTTTATTTTGGATAGAGCGTGAAGGTTTAGAACCCCGTCAGGTTTTTACTACGCTCCAGTGCTCCATTAGAGATATTTCTCTTACTTGCTGTCCAGGTGGCTATATGGTCTTACCAGACAAGAAGTGAGTGGAAAGCTGCAACAGGGACATAGACATGACTAAATAAATTTTTAATTCTGTCTGTGCTGCTGTTGGACAATTGTCTTACGTTCACCTGGGTGGTAAATGATGGGAAATCTCAATGACGCAGCTCTTTATAATAATAAAAATATGACAGGGGTTCTAATCCTACCCTACTCTATCCAAAACGAATATAAATTGTAAGTTAACCCAAACTCCATTACATTTAATTTGCTAAAGTGCCCTATAGGCTGTAGGCCACTTGCAGTCTCCATCAGAGACCCGTTTGATTTGGTGACAACGCAGCAGCACACTTGGGAAACCAGGAAAACTGTTGTCACCCTATAACAGGAAGTGCCTTCATGACAGGGTCCTCATTTTATCAAAAGCTGCAGATATAAACATATTTAAATTGACTTTGGAAATTACATTAACATGTTAAAGGTTATATGAGATTTTATTGATTGGGTTTACATCTAGGTTAGAATTTGGTTTTCAGTCCCCTTGTTTATCTCTTAGCACAAATGTTAAAAGGGGATTCCAAATGCAGAGCCTCTAACCTCTCAATTTGAGCATGACTTTCCCAATTCCATACCTGCGCCCCCCCTTCTCCCCCTCCTTTTCCCCATTGAGAAGTCTAGTCTTTCAGAGGGAAAGTAGGAGCTCTTAGGCAGCTCTCAATACCTGCTGCTTGACGTGTTACAATGTGTCGGGATCATTCTTCAGATCAGCAGGCTGTAAGTTAGGCTTTTTCATGCAGATAAAACGTCTTTAAGTGCTCGGCACCCAGCTGGTCCCTGGAGAAGCCTGTCAGCTGTTTCATCTTGTGCTCCTTGATGGCTTATGGATTTCTCCAGCAAATTAGATGCTATAGACGTTCTCCTAACCTTCACCGAACCCCCTGTGTCAGGAGCAAAACCGAGACCGTGTTATGAAAACAGAGATAACCTTTGTACTCCGATTTTTTTTTTTAATCTACTTTTCAGCCCAATATTTTGATTCAACTGAGATGGAAAACATTTATTTATGTCCTGTCACTGAGAACAAGTGTTATTCCTTCTTCAGCTCAAAGACCTCAGTGGCAAATGAGATTAAAAATAATGTATCTCTCTCTTTACTTCTTTGTTTCTTCATTTCTATTTCTTTCTTCCATCCCTCATTTCCCTCATTTCCCTCATTTCCCTCCATCCTTACTAATCTCTTTCCTTACTTTCCTTCCTTCCTCTAATTTATTTCTTCTTTCCTCCCTCTCCCATCTCTTTTCTTTCTTTCTTTCTTTCTTTCTTTCTTTCTTTCTTTCTTTCTTTCTTTCTTTCTTTCTTTCTTTCTTTCTCTCTCTCTCTCTCTCTCTCTCTCTTTCTTTCTTTCTTTTTCTCTTTCTTTCTTTCTTATTTCCTTACATGCTTCTTTATCTGTTTCCTTCCTTTTTTGTGTGTTACTTTCTCCATCCTCCCTCTCTCATCTCCTTCCTTCCTTTTTTTGTGTTCATTCATTCCTTTTTTCTTTCCTCCCTCTCTCCCCTCTCTCATCTCCTTCCATTCTTCCTTATCTTTCTTTCTTTCTTTCTTTTTCTTTCTCTCTCATCTCTCACTACCTCTATCTCTATCTCATTTACTTTCATGCTTCCGTATCTCTTTCCTTCCTTCCTTCCTTCCTTCCTTCCTTCCTTCCTTCCTTCCCTCCTCTCATTTCCTTCATTCCTTCTTTTGTGTGTTCATTCGTTCTTTTCTTCTTTCCTCCCTCTCCCCCTCTCCTTTCTTTCTTTCTCTCTCTCCCATTCTTCCGTATCTCTTTCCTTCCTTCCTTCTTTTGTGTGTTCATTCGTTCCTTTCTTCTTTCCTCCCTTTTCCCATCTCTCTTTCTTTCTTTCTTTCTTTCTTCTTTTGTCAGGTGACTATGAAATTTTGCTTATGAATATTTTGTATTCTTTTATCCATCCAGCAGATGGAGCTCTTGTCATGTTTCACATGATTGACTGTTTCTCTTTACCTTCTGTATCAAAGTGCATATTGTTTATAGAGCTCAATAGCTAAAGCTAAAATCTGCACACACACACACACACACACAAGTGATTGAATGATGGAAATGTTTGAAAGGAGATAAGTGAGATAAGGAGATAAGTTCTCTTCAGAAAATACATAGTAGTGCATTGAGAAACCTCTGACCATGTTCTACTGCCAGTTAGTCTCTATTGCACTGCGCACCCTGCTATGTTTCTGGCACTCTGAACTGGAGAGAAAGGGGTTGAGACAACTCAAAGTCTTACTTTGGGCACAATCCACTTTATACCTCAAAAACCACCCCCTGTGCCAACATTCCCCGCAGTGCCATCACACCCCTTGCTCTGACCATTGAGTGAAGACCAGTGATCCAGCAATGGAGTATTGTGGAGACTGAGATGATCCCTCCAATGGTTACATAATGGGTAGCGTTCACATCACCTAGACAGCAATGTGGACACCCCGAGGAAACGCCCTCCCACTTTGCAGTCCTTGCGTTAAAGCTTTAAAAATGAAGTCCATTGACTGTTATATGAAAACGCACCTCTTGTACATGAAGAATGGAGAGCTGATTGTTCATTTATGTTACCCGGGCTGATTGGAAATATAACTGTGGCTGGGGCGAGGGCATGTTGTGTATGTCAAAAATCTTGTCTGTGAAAGTGTCCCTCTTTCACACAAAAATAAAGAACTAGCTGTAATAACTTTCCTTCTTTGTATCTGTACAGGAATTCCACATGGCCATCCTCAGGGCTCTGGGCCCTGAAGAGGAGGATGGGGAAGAGGAGCTAAGACTGAGACACGGACTCAGCCAGCTGCTGCACATCTACCTGTTGCATGAAGAGGTTCTCGGAGAGCTGGAACAGAGGATCCAGAACTGGTCAGTCTCTCACAGCTTCACTGCTTTGTCCAAAGCAACGCGGTCATCTAGGTAACCTTGGGCTAGAGCTACATGGGAGATGTTTTCAGATGTGCTACTTACATCATTAGAGATAGTGCTGCAGTCAGCAACTAAATAGATGAAGGTAATGACTCCCTATGGAGTAAGCTATACATATTGCAATTTTACAAGCAATCATGCAAGATTAGCCATTGCTACTTGTGTGGGTTGCAAGATAGACAACCCTGTGCTCTATCTGCAATTGCTGCTGCTGGGGATTATAGTGTATCGAAACCCTAAAGCAAAAATGTCACATGTTGCATTTGACCAATCTTTGGATGACTTGGCTGCATTAGTGTTTTCTCTTATTTCTCTCTTTTTTTCCCCCTTTGTTTTCAACTCTTAATTTTTCAGATTCTTTGAACAGACCAAGCTGTCCAGCAAAAGTGGCATAGGGGGGTTGAGACAAATGTAGTGCATGCACTAATTTTCTCACCGAATACAGTGCACGGTATTGCGTTACTGCCAGGAGGTGTGTTGAGGTGCCAATAAAATGAATTGCAATGCATCTAGCGCACGGTAACACATGCTAGCGGCGTTGCGTGATAGCGTGCATTAGTTGCATGGTAGCATGCGATTAAGGCAACACTATGGTGAGCATGGGCCCTTAGCTGGAGTTCAGATTTAATTTGATAGTCAAGTTCATCTAAATCTGCTATAGCATCTAACACCACCCTCCCCACAGGGTGACAGTGCTGCTGTCCAAGGGTGGCTGGGTTGCTCCTCCATAGAGTGGAGCCACCCTAAGACAGGAAGTGTGTGCCTGGCCAGATAATATTCTTTACTTGCAGCATTTTTTAAAGAGATGTAATATGGGGTAAGCATTTTCAGACTGCTGACTTACAGCACTCAAGCAACTACAAGTTCTGATTAGCTCAGAGTGCTGCCCCTTCCTCTCACAGTTGCCCTCATTCACACGAGTAACAGCCGGCACGTACAGATCCGTGCTGCGTGCACGGCCGTATCGGGCAGCTCCTGGGAAAGACAGGTGCTGCGTGTGATTTGTACGCAGCCCCAGTCCTTCTCTAAGGGAGTACGAGGCTGTACACCGCCCTACGCTCTGTCTGCGTCCGAGCAGGGAACCCGCACCCGTACGGACGTGCAGTTCGGGTGAGTGTAGAGCTGCATACGGCCTCGTACTCCCTTAGAGAAGGACGGGGGCTGCGTACAAATCACACGCAGCACCTGTCCTTCCTGGGAGCGGACCGATACGGCCCTGCACGCAGCACGGATCTGTACGGGGCGGTTGTTACTTGTGTGAATGAGGGCTTAGCAATGTTATGTAGGAGGTCACAGATAACAGAGAGCTAATACCAAGACATATTTGGGTACTTATGCTACCTGTAAAAATACACCTAAGGATTTCTATAATAAAAACTTGTAATCTGGATGAAGTTCAGATAAAACTTATATTATAGAAACGCGTGTTAAAGGGGAACTATGGGGTTAAGTCTTTTCCCCATAGTTCTCCTTAGGGTAACGGGAGGACACAAACTAGCATCCTCCCATCACCCTAAGCTCAGTATACCGCAAGCTGTATACCGTTGCTGCTCGCGGTATACTGAGACGCCGCAGCTGAAGCGGATCCCGACAATTGTGCCGGGATCCGCCCAGCTGCGTGACTGACAGTTGGCTCTGCCTATCTAGAGGCAGAGCCAGCTGTACCCGCCCCCTCCCCCGTCCGATCCACCAGTCAGCGCTGGCGGATCGGAGCGGGGTGGGGGGAATCCAGCCCCTCCCCTGTCACAGCAGAGAGCCGTGACAGGATCGAGAGGTGAGCAAACGCCGATATGTGAGCCGACCTGTGACAGTCTCATTGTCACAGGTCGGCTAGAACTATGACGTGAGTGAAAAGCACTCGCCTCATAGTTCTCCTTTAAAGGGATTTTTATAATTAACCATCCAGGGTTTCCAAATCATTAAGCAGGAGGTGTTTGTGTTGATCACACTACTCTATATTTTGCCATAGCAGGATTCCACGTGACGTTTAACCTCCTACCTCTGTCCGCAGGGAAGAGAACCAGAAAATTGCAGACATCTTCCTAAGCCGGGAAGCCAGGTTTCAGTACCACACGGCTTTTATCGTTGCCTTCGACAAGACGAGCGCTGCGCTCGATGACTGTAGTATGAAAGCTCCCAGCGTGGCGGCTGTCATAAGAGACTTCGAGGTAATAAAAATCGCTTTGGATTATAAGGAGATACAGCGTTATAGGAAAACTCACTCTTCAGTGAAGGAAGAGCAATGTGTTAAGTACACCAGCCAATCAAAATGATTCCAGTGATCTGATTGGTTATTTTGTTGCACAATTTTCTGTCTGGAAATGAGTCTTAATTTTGTATCTAAAATGTTCAAGTTATGTAACATTTTTTTTAGAAAAGCTCCAACCTTTTCCGTGATTATGAATGCGTATGGTGTCCTGTTTATTTGAATTGTAGCCTCTTTCTTTGCACCAAATGCATTTGCAAGCCCAGATATTATCTTGTTAAAGGAGCAGTGGCATCATCTTTGTGCTGTAGATAGTCTGTGCAAAGAGCAGAGCTGTGGGAAGGACCCAACAGGCTCCACCCACTACAGGAAACTACAGGAGGGGGCAGAGACCAGACCAGTCACCCTGCACAAGGAGAGAGAGCAGCAGGGAGCGGTCTTTATTACAGGAAGGGGTGGAGACGAGAACAGCCACTCTGTACACGGAGGGAGAGCAGCAGTGAGCAGCCTTTTTTACAGGAGGGGGCAGGGAGAAGACCATCCATCCTGCACAAGGAGAGAGAGCAGCAGTGATCTGTCTTCATTACAGGAGGGGGCGGAGACAAGTCCAGTCACCCTGAACAAGGAGAGAGAGCAGAAGTGGCTGGTCTGTATTACAGGATGGGGCAGAGACAAGACCCTTCACCCTGCACAAGAAGAGAGAGCAGTAGTGATTGTTCTTTATTACAGGAGGGGGTGGAGACAAGACCAGTCACCCTGCACAAGAAGAGAGAGCAGCAGTGACTTGTCTTCATTACAGGAAGCTCTAAGTCTCACACTGGATTACTGCACAGATGTGGAAGAAATACACAAAGCTCGCCAACATTCAAGGAAGAATACACATGCCAATATTTGCTTATCGCGGAGTTCAGCTTTAAACGCCTCCTACCCCTCGGCCACCCATCCCGTTGAATAGATAGCAGGGATCTTCATAAATATTGTCACAGCCCTCCTTCATGGCTCTTTCAACGCTGTGCATGTGACAAGTCCACTTTATCAATGACACAATTAATGAGCATTTCATGGACCCATCGAGCCGGGGAACGCTGCCAGCCGCCTCGCTCTCCAATCGTCGCTGCGACATGTGATGAGTCAATCCTCCGCTCGTTTTTGGAGCGAACTTCCTTTTTGTGCAGAAAGCTCATTTCTCAATCACGCCGGCTCATCCCAGATGCCGAGTGTTTATCTGGCCTGTCACCGGATTCCTGAGCTGACGAATGGTGACCGCCATCGATGGATGACAGGGAAGGCCCCATCTCCGTGGAGGGGAGCTGCCAGATGGCGCATCGCTGCTAAATATTTACATAGAAATTTAATTATTGCAACATTGTATTTCCGCACACAGACTTCAAGTAATCCCCTGCAAGAAAATTACAAGCTGCCATTGTGTTGCTCCTTCTGCCAACACAGCAGCTAATGCAAAACGATAACCATTATAGTGCAAAGCTAGAACTGGTTTTGGATAGAGTGGAGAGGGATTAGACCACCCATCAGGTTTTCATTGCTGTCTGTGTCCCCATTGGGGAGATTCACCATCTCTATTTGTCCTGGTGACCGTTATCAATGAAAATGAAAGAAAATTCCAAATTTTGGGTTGTCACCAGAACAGGGACAGATGAGAAATCTTACAATGGGGACACTAGTTCTGGTGACCACCAGGAATTTCCTTCACTTTGGAGGGATATGCTTTCTCACTTCCTGTTGTGGCTATCAGACAGGAAGTTAAGAGAAATCCCTCCAATGGGACACAGATGACAGGGGTTATAAACCTTCCTTACTCTATCCAAAACTAAATAAAAGTCTTGGCTTCAGTCCTTCTTTAACACTGATGCCCTATGTCAAGGGTAGGCAAACCAAAGCCCTCCAGCTTTGGTAAAACTACAAACCCCAACATGCATCTGCTTCAGGGAGTAATGCATGTGGCTGTTCGTGATCCTCTTGGGTAAAAAGGTTGGGTTCCTCTTGGGTGAGAAGGTTGGGTTCCTCTTGGGTGAGAAAGTCGGGTTCCTCTTGGGTGAGAAGTTTGGGTTCCTCTTGGATGAGAAGGTTGGGTTGCTCTTGGGTGAGAAGGTTGGGTTCCTCATGGGTGAGAGAAGGTTGGGTTTCTCTTGGGTGAGAAGGTCGGGTTCCTCTTGGGTGAGAAGGTTGGGTTCCTCTTTGGTGAGAAGGTTGGGTTCCTCTTGGGTGAGAAGGTTGGGTTCCTCATGGGTGAGAGAAGGTTGGGTTTCTCTTGGGTGAGAAGTAACCAGAATAGGACATGCTGGGAAATAATTTGATGGGGACACTTGTTCCAACGACAACTTTATTTCCACTGTGCAATAAACATACAACGAATACTATGAATACAATTGTGAGAGCGCAGAAATGACAGGAACTCTCCTTGTTTTTGAACAGAGGATCTTCCAGAGAAGACAGTCGAGCATCAAACATGAACTGATGAAAGTGGTGCAGAGGATCTTCAAGTATCACATGATCCTTACAGGTGAGGAACAAACTACTAATACAATAATGTAAAGCCAGAAATTTTTGTTTCAGATTTGGGTAGAGAGAGAGAATATATATAAAAACGCATCAGGTTTATATTGCTTCCTACGTCCTTGCTGGGAAGACAGCAAAACATAAAATTGGTGATCTTGCAGCTAAATCAATTTTGGTAAAGTCCGCACATTCCTACTTATGAGCATCATTTTTATAGTCTGACATCGATTTTTTTGTTATGGACGTATTAAAGTGTGTCTGAATAGAACTGTTCAGTCCAATAAACACCAACCTTTGGTCACAGTGCCCCATGCACTCCATAATATTAAAGACCTGATCAGAGATGCCCCCTCTCTAGTCAGACACGCCCCCTCTCTGGTCAAACAGGTCCCCTGGTTAATCAGACACGCTCCCTCTCTGATCAGACACGCCCCTTCTGTGGTCAGACATGCCCCCTCTCTGGTCAAACAGGTCCCCTCTCTGATCTGACATGCTCCCTCTCTGGTCTGACACGCCCCCTCTCTGGTGAGACACACACCCTCTCTGGTCAGACATACCCCCTCTCTGGTCAGACATACCCCCTCTCTGGACAGACACCCCCCCTCTCTGGACAGACACCCCTCCTCTCTGGTGAGACTTGCCCCTTTTCTGGTGTGACATGCCCCTTCTCTGGCCAGACATAGCTTCTCTCTGGTCAAACATACCCATCTCTGGTCAGATACACCTCCTCTCTAGTCAGACACGCCCCCCTCTACCGTCAGACACACACTGTCTCTATTTTGCATTTGTCATATGCATGCATCATAGAGAGCCTTTAAGTGAATGTGAACCCCCAACAATGACCGTCTCTTATTTGATCCCTTTTGGTCTATTAAATATACCACTGAAAGTGGTTTGTTATATCTGTTCTATTAGTGCGGGGGGGGGGGGGGTTCCTGTTGATCCTGCCAGAAACTCAGAGCTGCCCTGTATCCTGTTAACTCTTCCTGTGATATCTCAAGGATTCCTCCCAGTTCTTAACATGTGCTACAAGACAATGACCTTATGTTGTGGAGGTGAAGAAAGGAGGAGGGATTCAGTGGTTAACCAAGACAGGGTCTGTAAAGGGATACAATATGGGGGGATGTTCAAGTATTGCAGGGTCTGTAAAGGGATACAATATGGGGGGGATGTTCATGTATAGCAGGGTCTGTAAAGGGATACAATATGGGGGGATGTTCATGTATTGCAGGATCTGTAAAGGGATACAATATGGGGGGATGTTCATGTATTGCAGGATCTGTAAAGGGATACAATATGGGGGGATGTTCATGTATTGCAGGATCTGTAAAGGGATACAATATGGGGGGATGTTCATGTATTGCAGGATCTGTAAAGGGATACAATATGGGGGGATGTTCATGTATTGCAGGATCTGTAAAGGGATACAATATGGGGGGATGTTCATGTATTGCAGGATCTGTAAAGGGATACAATATGGGGGGATGTTCATGTATTGCAGGATCTGTAAAGGGATACAATATGGGGGGATGTTCATGTATTGCAGGATCTGTAAAGGGATACAATATGGGGGGATGTTCATGTATTGCAGGATCTGTAAAGGGATACAATATGGGGGGATGTTCATGTATTGCAGGATCTGTAAAGGGATACAATATGGGGGGATGTTCATGTATTGCAGGATCTGTAAAGGGATACAATATGGGGGGATGTTCATGTATTGCAGGATCTGTAAAGGGATACAATATGGGGGGATGTTCATGTATTGCAGGATCTGTAAAGGGATACAATATGGGGGGATGTTCATGTATTGCAGGATCTGTAAAGGGATACAATATGGGGGGATGTTCATGTATTGCAGGATCTGTAAAGGGATACAATATGGGGGGATGTTCATGTATTGCAGGATCTGTAAAGGGATACAATATGGGGGGATGTTCATGTATTGCAGGATCTGTAAAGGGATACAATATGGGGGGATGTTCATGTATTGCAGGATCTGTAAAGGGATACAATATGGGGGGATGTTCATGTATTGCAGGATCTGTAAAGGGATACAATATGGGGGGATGTTCATGTATTGCAGGATCTGTAAAGGGATACAATATGGGGGGATGTTCATGTATTGCAGGATCTGTAAAGGGATACAATATGGGGGGATGTTCATGTATTGCAGGATCTGTAAAGGGATACAATATGGGGGGATGTTCATGTATTGCAGGATCTGTAAAGGGATACAATATGGGGGGATGTTCATGTATTGCAGGATCTGTAAAGGGATACAATATGGGGGGATGTTCATGTATTGCAGGATCTGTAAAGGGATACAATATGGGGGGATGTTCATGTATTGCAGGATCTGTAAAGGGATACAATATGGGGGGATGTTCATGTATTGCAGGATCTGTAAAGGGATACAATATGGGGGGATGTTCATGTATTGCAGGATCTGTAAAGGGATACAATATGGGGGGATGTTCATGTATTGCAGGATCTGTAAAGGGATACAATATGGGGGGATGTTCATGTATTGCAGGATCTGTAAAGGGATACAATATGGGGGGATGTTCATGTATTGCAGGATCTGTAAAGGGATACAATATGGGGGGATGTTCATGTATTGCAGGATCTGTAAAGGGATACAATATGGGGGGATGTTCATGTATTGCAGGGATGTACCGCTTATGTTTGGTGCTGTCATAGATCATTACGTGATATTAGGTGTGTAACAATGCACCAGAACTGCGTACCTGACTCAGGGTACAGAAAGTTCAGCAGTTCTATCTGCCTTAACGATGGTTCAGAGGAATCCTGCGACGGACCGCAGCAAAGCGGCTGCCAAATCTGTCCCCGAGGAGACCAAACCGAATCTCTTCCTGGCCTCAGACTGGAAATTAATTTTTCCTGTTTCAACCTTTTTTGTTATATTTACAGTAAGTGACATAACTGCCGCGGCTTCTGTTTGTTAAAGGGGAGTAGGTCTTGAATAGGAACACGTTAAGGGCCACGCATGGAACAGACTGAAAAGACCTCATTTTCATCTTGACGGGAAAATTATATCGTATTAGGGCGTCTCGTGGAATCTTCGCACATCCCCCGTTGTCACTTGCAATAATTTCCACATGTGACAGCTCTTGTTTTATATCTTCGGTCGGTCCAGGTCGGGGCGCCAGCTGTCAGTAGCGCTTTTGTGACGCTACATATCCCGGTATGTTTGCATAGATGTAATGGGGGTGGTAAATAGATGACTAGGTGCATGGAATCATGCATACATCAAATAATCCACCCAGATATATCGTGCTATTGAATGATAACACACTCACACTACGAGGAAATATTCTCATACTGCCGGCAGAGGTGGAATGGAACTGACTTTCTATCTGTAGGAGCAGCCAGCAACTGGAGGGCTAGTGCTGGGCTTTTTTTATGGAGACGGCCCAGCATGCTTTGCATACATTGTAACATAAAGGCACTTTACATGTATTCTTTTGGTAAGTCAACCTCAGTGTGAATGGTCAGTCAGTTGACGGGGCAGCAACTGTTAGACTTAAGGTGACCTCTGACCAGGGGTGTCCCTAGATTTTTGCCGACTGGGGGGGCTACTGGTGCTGCATGTTTGGGGGGGTCAGGGTGGTGGTGGTGCACGTTCAGGGGGGCAGCATTGTGGGTGGTGCATGCTTATGGGGGCGTGGATCATCTCACCATCTCTGGCTGCAACTGGTGTCCCGCCCTGCTCACTGATGTCACTGGTTGCAAGGAGCTGGCCAGGATGCCGCCCAGAGCATCACGCTCAGCTCCTGATAACTAGTGACATCAGTTAGTGTGGCCCTTACACATCTACCTGTCCGGTCCTTGGGACCTGGGACGCTGGAGGAAGAGAGAGTACACTGTTAGCAGAGATGGAATGGAACTGGCTTTCCATCTGTAGGAACAGTCAGTAATTGGAGGGCTGCTGCTGGGCTTTCCATGGGGAAAGCCTAGCCCAGCATGTTTGGAGGCATCCTGAATTAAATATTTATTTCTAAAAAAAAAACACACACATTTTATACAATTCATGAAAATGGATATAAACATTTCATAAATGTGTAAACTTTAAAACAAAAATTGACCACAAAATTTCATTTTAAATCTGTAGCAGCTATTTGCACACTCAGAAGCCGGAAGGCAGCGGAGATGATATACTATTTTCAATGAATAAAGTGAAAATTAGATTTTCTTTGGCCCACGATGGGATGATTGAAGCGAATACAGCTTCACCAATTTAAGTGAAAAATGTGCTCCTTAGATAATCCAACCTCAGTGTGAGAGGTCAAGCGGTTAACAGGGTAGCAATTGACTTTAGCTGACCTCTGATTCCATGACTCAAGCTGAAGAGTCAGACCAAAGTAACGATGAATAATTAAGGAGGTCATTATAAATTATAAGTAAATCTGTTATCTGTACTGGTATGTAAAATGTAACACTGACGATTAAGATTCTTGTATCACTAAACGCACACTCAGCCATGACCAGCTCTCTATATTCAAAAACAAAACAGGAAACACTTTTTTATTGTGTTTTCCTTTACAGTGATTACATTGTTACTCACATTCCTCCTGTATCATTGTCTGCCCTTAAAGGAGAACTACGGGGTAAGTGTTTTCCCCCATAGTTCTCCTAAGGGTCACGGGAGGACACAAACTAGCGTCCTCCCGTGACCCAAAGCTCAGTATACCGCGAGCTACAGCACGCGGTATACTGAGACCGACGGATCCCGACATTACTGTCGAGATCCACCCAGCTGCGTGATTGACAGCTGGCTCTTCCTATCTAGAGGGAGAGCCAGCTGTACCCGCCCCCTCCCCCATCCGTTCCGCCAGTCAGCGCTGGAGGATCGGACAGGGGAGGGGGGGAATCCCTGCAGGGAGCCGTGAGTGACAGTCACGGCTCTCTGCAGGGACAGAATCGAGAAGTGAGCGAACGACGGTATGTGTTCGCTCACTTCCTGATCTATTGAGCCGACCTGTGACAGTCTCATTGTCACACGTCGGCTCAAACTACGAGGAGGAGGGAAAATCACTCACCTCATAGTTCTCCTTTAAACTGAAACCCAAAAATCAGGCTCGCAACAATGATTTGACATTTCTTGATTCTTCATTAGACCGGAGTTCTTCTTTAGTACAATGAAACAGCTTAGCTAGACGGAAATCTCAGCGGACAATGTAAAACTTTTCCTCAGACGAGCCAGGAACAATTTGTACATTGGGAGTAGACGGATATTTTTTTTTATATCTATATAAAAATGAATAGACAATGCTTATCGAGCCGGGCGCTCTCATGGGACGCGTGCGTCGGTGACAGTAATACATTTAAAGCCGTGTTGGAGATCTTCTTGCGCAGTTTGTGTTCCTACAGCTGGTCCTTTGATGATTCAGCGCGCTGATATTGTTCTGCTCAGCACAATCAGTCAGAGGCCACGATGAGACAGACTTCTGTCTCGCCGGACTCTTCATCTTAATTTTTAATAAAATGTATGTCGACGTATTATTACCATGTAAAGGCGAATCCTCCGGGCATACAAATGTGCTTTTGTGCGGAGTTGTCTTCTGATGATTGACCTGGACAATAAACACAGAAACACAGACTGTAATACTTAGAGGGAATGTTGTATATATATATATATGTGTGTGTATGTGTGTGTGTGTGTATGTATATACAGTATATATATATTTGTCAGGCCGAAACCGAGAATGTTTTTTTTATTTTAATTTTTTTAATTTTTTAAAAATAGTTTATTTTTATTTATTTTTTATAAACTTTTAATTTTTTTTAATATTTACTTTTATTTATTTATTAATTTGTTTTAAAATATTTGTATTTTTAGGGGCTTTCGGGGAAATATTGGGGGTCTAAACAAACCCCTGATATTTCCCTTTTAAAATATAAAGAGATTGAGGACACAGAGTCCTCAATCTTTCTTTCTGCATCCCCTGTCATAAATGAACAGGAATCCTCTATACTGAGTGTTCCTATACATTCATAACATGAGGACAGAGTATGTTTACTATAACCACAATCATGAATGGACAGGAGGGGATGTAGATCACTTCCCATTCATTCATAATTCAGGATATAGTAAACATACTCTGTCCTCAATTCTCTACAAGCACTCATTGATCGCTGAGTGCTTGTACCGCTCTCCTTTCTGACACGCTGTCACAGGAGGCTGAGCGAGCGGAGCGGAGAGCTCAGCTTCCTTTGACAATGCTGTCTGTCTCCGCCCACACCGCCGCTCTGCCGGACTGTGATAGGAGGCTGAACGGTGTGGGAGGAGAGAAGCCGGCCACTCACAGCGCTCTCCTCCCGCAACGCTCGGCCGCCTGTGACACTTTCTCTCCTCCCCGCTGGGACACAGAGCAGCGCCCAGCGGGGAGGAAAGAAAGAAGGGATGCGCCGACGTATCGGTAGAAAAATGGCACTTTCGGCATTTAGCCAAAAGTGCAATTTTCGGCCGATATGTTTCGGCGGCCGATATATAGGTGCATACCTAATATATATATATTTTTTTATATATATATATATATATATATATATATATATATACATATATATATTATAAAACTATACTCTCTCTCTATACAGTATATATTTTTTCCTTTTATATTTATTTATTTTTCTTTTAATGTTATATGTCAGTCGTGTACTTTAAATTGTTGTCTTTCTGCAAAAATATTTAAAAAAAGGAGGCTTGCCAGGAGCTCTTTTTTTTAGAACAGGTCCAAGATAGGTAAAAGGAGCTTCTATAACCCTTACCAACCATTTAAAGCAGAACCAAAAAAAAAAAAACATGTGCAGTATCACTTAATTATAAGTACACAAGTTCCCTTGCACAGTCCCACAAATACTTAATGATCCTGCCAGTGAAGTTCACCTACTGCAGCTTCCTGTGATGGGGTGGCAACGATGCTGCAGTGCTCCTGAATTCAGAACTAGGGACTAGTAACTGGATTTGGAAGCTATTTAGATCAGGGATAGGCAAACTACGGCCCTCCAGCTGTGGTGCAACTACAAATCCCACCATGCATCCGCCTCTATAAGTCATGCCTGTGGCTGTCAGGGTCTTGGAGTGCCTGATGGGATTTGTAATTGCATCATGGCTGGAGGGCCGGAGTTTGCCTATCCCTGGTTTATACAATCATAAAGGAGCCTTAGGTTGTATTTTAAAGGCCATTACACCCTAAAAAAACTACCAACAAAACTTACCTATTGGCTCCAAAATTGTGAAGTTTTACCAAAATTTCTCGATTCTTCGCTGAAAAGGAAAACTCTAAATTTCATTCGCCCCCACTCATGTGTATCTCAACCATGTATTTACATTGTCCAGCGTTCTGATTTAAACCTGCGCTCCTTCTAAATGACTCTCCATCTCTTCCTGCAGATTATGTGAACAATCTCTGTCCAGACTGGGCGGAATACGAAGATACCCAAGGTGAGTGACCGTACATTGTATAATCCGCACTCTCCATCTCGCCCCCCGGAGATTCCCCTGTCTCTCTATTTTGGGTCTCTAAGGAGTTAATCAATTCCTCCGGCATCATCTGGTTCAAGTGAAGTGCCGGGAGTCTATTCATCATAGTCACAGTTATAGGAATTCCGAGCCCGATCTGCTGCTTATACGTGCAAATTTCCTGCCGCGCAATTCATCAAGCTCGCTTGTGCACGAAAATACAGACGGGGCGGATTCGGGATGCAGAAATGTTTCCTTCTCTGATCGTGTCATTAATCTGCACCACAGAAATATATTACCAAAATATTGAAAGAAGGGAAAAAAATAATACACATATTTTAGATCCAATCTCTAAGATCTGTTGAGCTAATACTGTGTTTTCTGTGTTACATTTTTTGTATCAATTTGTTTCAATTAAAAATTACATATATACAGTCATGGCAAAAAATATTGGCACCCCTGTATTTCTGTCAGATAATCCACCACTTCACGTAGAAAATTGTTGCGATTACAAATGTTTCCGCATTCTCATGTTTATTTCTTTTGTTTGTATTGGTGACACAAAAGAGTGGAGAAAAAAAAAAAAGCCAAACCTGACACATTCCACGCAAGACTCCAAAAATGGACTGGACAGAATTATTGGCACCCTCAATTAATATATGGTAGCCCTTGGAAAAAAATAACTGAAATCAATGGCTTCCTGTAACCATCAATGAGTTTGTTACACCTCTCTACAGGAATTTTGGAGCGCTCTTCTTTCGCCAACTGCTCCGGGTCTCTCCGATTGGAAGGGTTCCTTTTCCCAACTGCTGTTTTGAGATCCCTCCACAGGAGCTCTATGGGATTCAGATCTGGACTTACGCTGGGTTCACACTTAGTGTATTGGAAACTCACGTTTGCCACGCGTTTCTTACCGCGCGGTTTTACCGCGATTTGCGGTAAAAGAAACGCGCGGCAAACGCGAGTTTCCGAGGGGGTATCCGTCTGTATTCTGATGGATACAGCCGGATACGCGCGTTAATATGCCCCAAAGAAGCTCCTGTACTTCTTTGGGCGTATGGCGCTTTTACCGCGCGATCCTACGCGCGGTACAATGCGCAGGTGAGAACCATGCCCATAGGCAAACGCTCAGGTGTGAACCGGGCCTTAATGCTGGCCAGTCCAGTACTCTCCAGCGCTTTGTCTGAAACCATTTCTGGGTGCTTTGGGTCATTGTCCTGCTGTAAGACCCATGACCTCTGATGGAGACCCGACATTTCCACACCGGGCCCTACATTGCACCCCAGAATTCTTTGTTAGTCTTCAGATTTCATAATGCCGTGCATTTAGGACAGTTGGGACATCCAGTGCCTGAAGCAGCAAAGCAACCCCAAAACATCACATACAAGCTGAAGGTCAGCTTGAATGTGTCTGGAAGTTGACGGAGGGTCTTTCTCCACCTTTCCAACAATCCTTTGTTGCAATCCTTGATCAATAGTTCTCTGTCGTCCACGTCCGGGGAGATCAGCTCCAGTGCCATGGGCTGTAAACCTCTTGACAATGTCATGCACAGTGGACGCAGGAACATTAAGATCTCTGGAGATTGTCCGTGCTTTCCCACAAAAACTTGGAATGCAACTATTTCTTGCAATTTGGAGAAGGTGCCAATAATTTTGCCCAGTCCATTTTTAGATTTTTGCGTGGAATGTGTCAGATTTGGCTTTTTTTCCCTCCACTTTTTTCTGTTATACCAATACAAACAAAAGAAAAAAACATGAGAACGCCGAAACATTTGTAATTGCAACAATTTTCTGCGCGAAGTGTTGCATTATCTGACAGAAATACGGGGGTGCCAATATTTTTGCCCATGATTGTATGTATACAGTATACATATATATTCTCTAAAGTTGAAAATCTTCATTTTTTTTACTACCATCACATTCCGAAACTGGTTTTCTCCAGACTCCATGTGGAATCTGTGGTTTGGAATTTGTTTTGGCTGGGCTGGAGTATCAATCCATTGTGCGGGATTTGTTCTGACAGGAATAAAAATGTAAACAAATTGAATAAAATGTAATCTCTGAAAGCAAAAATGTAAATATAAGAAGGACAATTTCTGAAAGTTCCTGCAATATCTGTGAAAAGAATTGCTGATCTGTGAGGAAAAACCCTGTACAAGGAGAGTATGGAACTGATCTGTCCTGCTGATAATGCCGGATGCCTGGCTGTCGTGCCGATTCATTGGCAGCTTATAAGGGCGCTGATCTGGAACAGGTATAGAGGTTCGGAATTCTAGCATCAGTCTTTATGATCTGCTTAGCGATTCAATACGTATTGCAGGCAGCCAGGCACCCGGTATGTTTAGAATGAGTCCAGCGAAGGCAGCCTACACATTTCTCCCAGTACAGGTTCCTTCTTTTAAACCAGCCAATCAGATTTCATTTACAAAACCAACCCCAGCCAAATCTTTCTCTTCATTTCTGTATAGAGGGGGTAAATGGATGAACTTTGGGAAGCGACTGGTTGCTGACTGTGTTTCCTTTTGCTCATCACTTCCTGATTTGATGGGTGTTGTACAGAACAGGAAGTGATGAGAACATCTCTCCAATGGAGACACAGCCAATAAGAGAAGATCTTTTCTAGTAGAGCAGGTGAAGGGTTAGAACCTGTGTCAAGATTTTAAGGTTGTCACAAATCTATTGCTGGAGGAGGAGTGCTGCAAGGAATAGTCTGAACCTACAACTTTAAGAAAATGTAACTTTATTTGTAACTTTGTGTATATAATAGAGCCAAAGTGTTCCGGGGTGTTCCCACTTCCTCAGGGCTAAAACTTGGAATAATTTGTCCAAGAGGGATTGGGTATGTGCTGGGGGTCTTGAGTGGTGTGAAACTCTGGTTTGCTAGCTGTTATGGACCGGGGTCTGTATCTGATGAGTGAGACAGTCCAGAGCACTATAAGAATGTACCTGAGGATGTGTTGAAACAGAAGACGTTTCTCACCAACACAGCAGCAGTTAAGTGTTCAATGCGGTCTTTAATGACATAGACTCATCTTGTCCATAGCGACGTTTCGGGACGTCGCAAGGTCCCTTCATCAGGCATATACAAGGCTGATGAAGGGACCCTGCGAGGCCCCGAAACGTCGCCATGGACAAGATGAGTCTATGTCAATAAAATAGACCGCATTGAACACTTAACTATCGGTGTGCTGGTGACAAACTTCTTCTGCTTCAAGTACGGGGGCGCTATCCGCAGTCACTAGCGCACCCACATCCGTGGGGGGAAATTCATGAGGATGTGTTGAGACACAGGGGTCAGAGGAGGTACACAGGGTGCACTGCAGCTACAGGATGTAACAGGATTATCTGGGACGCACTGGAATCATGGGACGCACAGGGTTCATCAAAGCCAAATGATGACACAGGATGCTCTGGGGGTCACTCGATAACACCAGATGCACTGGGGTCACTGGGTAATGCAGTATGCGCAGGTGGGTGGCACACTATGCTCTGGAGTTACTGGGTAATGTTGGAAGTGATAAGGGTCACTGGGTGACACAGGATGCGCTGGGCTCACTGGGAATCATGAGGGGCTTTGGGGTCACTTGCTGACACAGGCTGAGTCGCAGCCTCGCAGGGCACAAAGGGCTCAGTGTGTATCACAAGATGCTCTGGGGTCACTGCATATCACAAATGCTTTGGGGTCACTGCCTGTCACAAGATTCTCTGGGGTCAGGTCATTGCATGTCACAAGATGCTCTGGGGTCATTGCATGTCACAAGATGCTCTGGGGTCATTGCATATCACAAGATGATGTGGAGTCACTGCCTGTTACAAGATGCTCTGGGGTCATTGCATATCACAAGATGATGTGGAGTCACTGCCTGTTACAAGATGCTCTGGGGTCATTGCATGTCACAAGATGCTCTGGGGTCATTGCATATCACAAGATGATGTGGAGTCACTGCCTGTTACAAGATGCTCTGGGGTCATTGCATATCACAAGATGATGTGGAGTCACTGCCTGTTACAAGATGCTCTGGAGTCACTGCCTGTTACAAGATGCTCTGGGGTCATTGCATATCACAAGATGATGTGGAGTCACTGCCTGTTACAAGATGCTCTGGGGTCATTGCATGTCACAAGATGCTGTGGGGTCACTGCCTGTTACAAGATGCTCTGGGGTCATTGCATGTCACAAGATGCTGTGGGGTCACTGCATGTCACAAGATGATGTGGAGTCACTGCCTGTTACAAGATGCTCTGGGGTCATTGCATATCACAAGATGCTGTGTTCAGATGTTGAACCATGAGCCACTTTTCAATGAGCTGTCTCCTGACTGGCCACAGCACTAATGATGGTCAGTGAACCCCAGAAGTTCTGGCAGATGTACATGAGAGGTGAGACCCTGCCCTAGATTGCACAGGAGGTGAGTGTGACACTAGCTAGGCTGTATTGCAAATGCATCCTAGGTATCCATTTTCATGCTGGGGAGATTTCCCCTTGTTTCCTGCCTAGTAGACGGGTGTCAGACCAAACAGGAAGTGAAGGAAAATCTCCCCAGCAGCAACACAGACAGCAGCAGAAAACCCGGCATTGGCTCCAACTGTTTCCCGATCTATATAAAACCAAATCCATTTTTTTTTTTTGGCTGGAGTTGGGCTTGTGATTAATCGCTGCAGGTTTTTGCATAATTATGAATTTTATGAACATTTGCTGTTTGAGGCATTTATCCCCTGAAAAGAAAGGCTGGAGAACATGGGGAAGGAGATCCCTTGCACAGCCAGAAGTGATAACGATGATATATTTCTCTTATTACAGCTGCCTTGCTCATTGTCTCAGAAGTCGCAGACCGAGCTAATGAGAGTATGCGTCACGGGGTGAGTTCCGTCTGTCACTGTGTCTTGTCTCTGTGAAAAATAGTTTTATCGATAAAGTTGCACGGTTCAAGTGTACCTCTCGCCTACACAATATGGAAGATGCTGTCTTGTAGGCCGTCATTAATATAAATAACGGTTCATTGCGTCTCAATGCTGTCGAGTTTCTGGTCAACCGATCGGCTTTGTTCATGGGAGAAATAGTGACAAGATGGCTGATTGAGGAGATCCGTTCTAACACAGAGCCCCAAATGCCAAAGAGAAGAACCGACTGTATTTCCTTTCAGCAACCAATCAGCTTCTCTGTTTCTTTTTAATAATCTGCTTTGGTGGCACAAAATAGGAGAAGCTGGTTTGTGGGCTTTCTGATGTCCAGTTTCAGCAACCCCCTCTCCTGCCTCGTGCCTGCACCCACTCTTCCTACAACCCGGGACCCCCTGTAATTCCAGGAGTGCCTGCAGCCACTCTTTTTTTGTGAATGGAGCCTGCAAACAAGCTTCATTCATAAATACATTGTTACAGTATTACAATTGTTACACTGCATAGTGTAGAATTATATTCTGTTTAGTGCTTTAGGAAGTGAGAAGGAATTTCTCTAAGCCTAAAACTGATGTAGAGTAATTGTTTTCTAACCGCTGACAGGTTGGGAGATTCTGTATATCTCTCCCTGCCCTTCAACGTTTGTGTACTCTGGGCCGCATGTGTGCAGCTCAGTGTATAGTCGCGGCGCGGTCTTGTGCCGAGATGAAGTAACTCCCATGCACAAATTACAGAAAAAAAGAGTCCTTTCAAACGAGGGACAGTGCTTTCAAGCGAGGGAGAGTCCTTCCAAGCGAGGGAGAGTCCTTCCAAGCGAGGGAGAGTCCTATCAAGCGAGGGAGAGTCCTATCAAGCGAGGGAGAGTCCTATCAAGCGAGGGAGGGTCCTTTCAAGCGAGGGAGAGTACTTCCAAGCGAGGGAGAGTCCTTCCAAGTGAGGGAGAGTCCTTCCAAATGAGGGAGAGTCCTTCCAAGCGAGGGAGAGTCCTTCCAAGCGAGGGAGGGTCCTTACAGGCGAGGGAGAGTCCTTCCAAATGAGGGAGAGTCCTTCCAAATGAGGGAGAGTCCTTTCAAGCGAGGGAGAGTCCTTTCAAGCGAGGGAGAGTCCTTTCCAGGGAGGGAGAGTCCCTTTAGGCGAGGGAGTCACGTGTGGCGGAGAACGACATGCCTGATTGATCTTGTGGTTTTAATAAAGCTTATTGTAATTTAAGCAAAAAAAGTAAAACAATGTACAGCCTGGACTATATAATTATATATATATAT